CTCCTCCTCCCTGGCTTTACTGCCTCCTCCTTCCTGGCTTTACTGCCTCCCCCTCCTTCCTGGCTTTACTGCCTCCCCCTCCTTCCTGGCTTTACTGCCTCCCCCTCCTTCCTGGCTTTACTGCCTCCCCCTCCTTCCTGGCTTTACTGCCTCCCCCTCCTTCCTGGCTTTACTGCCTCCCCTCCTCCCTGGCTTTACTGCCTCTCCCTCCTCCTGGCTTTACTGCCTCCTCCTCCCTGGCTTTACTGCCTCCCCTTCTTCCTGGCTTTACTGCCTCCCCCTCCTCCCTGGCTTTACTGCCTCCTCCTCCTCCCTGGCTTTACTGCCTCCCCCTCCTCCCTGGCTTTATTGCCTCCCCCTCCTCCCTGGCTTTACTGCCTCCCCCTCCTCCCTGGCTTTACTGCCTCCCCCTCCTCCCTGGCTTTACTGCCTCCCCCTCCTCCCTGGCTTTACTGCCTCCCCCTCCTCCCTGGCTTTACTGCCTCCCCCTCCTCCCTGGCTTTACTGCCTCCCCCTCCTCCCTGGCTTTACTGCCTCCCCCTCCTCCCTGGCTTTACTGCCTCCCCCTCCTCCCTGGCTTTACTGCCTCCCCCTCCTCCCTGGCTTTACTGCCTCCCCCTCCTCCCTGGCTTTACTGCCTCCCCCTCCTCCCTGGCTTTACTGCCTCCCCCTCCTCCCTGGCTTTACTGCCTCCCCCTCCTCCCTGGCTTTACTGCCTCCCCCTCCTCCCTGGCTTTACTGCCTCCCCCTCCTCCCTGGCTTTACTGCCTCCCCCTCCTCCCCTCCCCTGGCTGGCTTCCTTCCTCCCCCTCCCGGGCTTGGCTTCCTTCCTCCCCCTCCCTGGCTTGGCTTCCTTCCTCCCCCTCCCTGGCTTGGCTTCCTTCCTCCCCCTCCCTGGCTTGGCTTCCTTCCTCCCCCTCCCTGGCTTGGCTTCCTTCCTCCCCCTCCCTGGCTTGGCTTCCTTCCTCCCCCTCCCTGGCTTGGCTTCCTTCCTCCCCTCCCTGGCTTGGCTTCCTTCCCCTCCTCCCTGGCTTGGCTTCCTTACCCGCAGCTTGGTTTCAACCCGCCCCCCAGCTTGGTTTCTTCCGCCCCCCAGCTTGGTTTTCTTCCCGCCCCCCCCCCAGCTTGGTTTCTTCCCGCCCCCCCCCCCCCCAGCTTGGTTTCTTCCCGCCCCCCCCCCCAGCTTGGTTCCCCCCCCCCCCCCCAGCTTCTTCCGCCCCCCCCCCCAGCTTGGTTTCTTCCCGCCCCCCCCCCAGCTTGGTTTCTTCCCGCCCCCCCCCCAGCTTGGTTTCCTTCCCCCCCTCCCCCCAGCTTGGTTTCCTTCCCGCCTCCCCCCAGCTTGGTTTCCTTCCCCTTCTCCTGATGTGACTTCTTTCCCCCTCCTCCTGATGTGACTTCTTTCCCCCTCCTCCTGATGTGTTCTTTCCCCCTCCTCCTGATGTGACTTCTTTCCCCCTCCTCCTGATGTGACTTCTTTCCCCCTCCTCCTGATGTGACTTCTTTCCCCCCTCCTCCTGATGTGACTTCTTTCCCCCTCCTCCTGATGTGACTTCTTTCCCCCTCCTCCTGATGTGACTTCTTTCCCCCTCCTCCTGATGTGACTTCTTTCCCCCTCCTCCTGATGTGACTTCTTTCCCCCTCCTCCTGATGTGACTTCTTTCCCCCTCCTCCTGATGTGACTTCTTTCCCCCTCCTCCTGATGTGACTTCTTTCCCCCTCCTCCTGATGTGACTTCTTTCCCCCTCCTCCTGATGTGACTTCTTTCCCCCTCCTCCTGATGTGACTTCTTTCCCCCTCCTCCTGATGTGACTTCCTTCCAGTCATCAACAATGGGAAATCGTAATACTCATGGCTTCCATATTTTGCTAACATGTCGTATTGTAATTGTTCAAATTGGCTAAAACTTTAATTGTATTCTTATCTGTGTTCCTGATATGAGAGATAACCTACTAGAGATTATCCATACAGAGCGCTGGTGTGTCGCGAGCTTATTTGTAACTAGTGTGTGTTTGTGAATGAACTTTACTGTTGGAAGTGCTGAGGCCAGAGTGGTCTTCCTCTCTAAGTGGATCGTCTCATTCGACATTTGTACCTCACACTGGTTGGCATCTACAGCAAAATTGTTGCCGAGATACTGGGAAGTTCTTCTGTAAGTAAGTGTTTGAGTACTAAAAGTACCTTAAATACAAAATCAAATATTTTAGTGGGTATGTTACTCATTCAAAGGTAGTTCCCTGAAGCAAATTTGTGGAGTAAAACTGATGAACCAACCTAACATAATCTAATCCAGCCTTACCTAACCTAGCATAATTTAATTCACCATACCTTGCCTAGCCTAACCTTATTCAGCCTCTTAATCCTACTTGATGTAAATATATAGACAGTACACCTTTAGCCATTGGAAGATGATATACAAAGCTTATTGCACGCAATGTATGATTTAACGATGACCCATTTAAACAATGAGGGTTTTTAGGCTAATGCATAGACTATTGCATATTCTTCGGTGACCTTGTGCATATTTACCCGCAAAATGCATATACTGTACTGTACAATGGAATAATGTATAAATTAAGAAAGCAATCCTCCCAAAATCGTCCCTGTCCAATTAAATAAGCCTTGTGTTTAGGATCAGATTATTGCCTGTGCTTGATAATTACGATTTATAATTTTCTTTCTTCTGGTAGTATGTCCCACATTATAGAAACTTGAACATAAGTACCTTCGAGGTTGTTGTGGACATTGAGGATGTATGGACATTTTTATTCTCTCATGCTAAGATGTGATGTTGCTTTCTTGGTGAGCAGACTAGTTATTTTAAGTTTTTGCTTAGAAGCTGGCCTCCTCCCACAAACTTGGGATAATAATATTATAATGAATACTTTTAAAACGGGTTTTTTAATTTGGTCAGTATTATATTTCTTCCTTTTTTATATGGCACTTGTTAGGGTGATCTTCTTGATCTTGAGTGATAAATACTTTATCAAACACACCTCTTCCAACTTCTAATGCATATGTACTCACACTCGGCCCCCCCCCCACCCCATCTGTTACTTTACCATTAAATTTAAATCTTCACCCACCACCTGCACACCCATTGACCCACCACCTGCACACACCCATTGACCCACCACCTGCACACACCCATTGACCCACCACCTGCACACACCCATTGACCCACCACCTGCACACACCCATTGACCCACCACCTGCACACACCCATTGACCCACCACCTGCACACACCCAATGACCCACCACCTGCACACACCCAATGACCCACCACCTGCACACACCCAATGACCCACCACCTGCACACACCCATTGACCCGAACCCACACTTACAAGGAGTTGAAAGGAGGGATGGAATACATTGTATAAGTATTTGTATTCTGAAACACAGTATGCTTTGTTGGGCATTGAGGGCAGGAGATATCTTTCTGACCAATGGTGGAAATGCTTGTACATGTGTAGTTTTTAAGAGGGTGTTGGTTTTGTCTGGTTCTTTCATCCAACTACATGTATCTGAATTTTCAGTTAAATGGACATCCAGAGGTATCGGTTATTCTGAATATTTGAGGTTGCACTGTACTGTTTCAGTACTGCATGTGGAATGGCTTGGCATTGCTTAACAGGAGAGGCAGAGAAGGAAAGGAAGAAGCAAAATGAATAAAAATGAAGAAATGCTGGAGGAGGAGAAAGGGGATAGATTTATATGAAAAAGATTTCATTGATAGTATTGTTTATGCAGCAATATGAGATATGGCATAAGAGACAGGCAATAGCTTTCTATATCAGTCTTGTACAATTAAACAGTACAGTATATCGAGGTTATATGATTCATTCTGGCATTTTTATATTATAATTTTTTGGGCAAATCTAAATTGTATTAATTAATGTATATGTAAGTAGATTGTGACATTTTAATATTTCATGCACACTATAGCATCAGTACGTGACATTGGTTTCTTTGAATTGGTACATGATTTTGAAGAATTTATTTTTTCAGGTGACTGTAGAGAGCCATGCAATTGCAATTCAGCATAGAAAGGAACAAGAGGGAGTTTATATTTGTTTGCAATTTTTACGTACAATACTGTACAGCTTGCCAATTTCTTGTGCATGTCCGTACTTTTCATGGTTAATGTATGTGAAGTTCTGGATGACACCGACATCGATTAGTCAGTGACTGAGCTCGTGTGTCTGACAGTTATCTTGAACCATATCGAAAGATTAGGTCTATATTCCCATCATACCATATGGATATTTGTGTGTGTAAATTTGGGTATATACTGAGAACACGGCTTCATTTCAGATGACAATATAGAGAATCTACTGATTTTCACATTGAACAAATTTAAATTTAAAATGCCTATGTATTTTGGGTAGCTTTTTCATCCTAATGGTTATGTCACAGTAGTTGAGGGTACTTGAGTGGAGACTTGTAGGGTTCCTGACTTACAAAAATTTCAGAGGGAGATGAAGTAAAGTCACAGAAATCTCACCTCAGGTAGTTTCAAAGGTTGGCATTATCAGTGGTGATAGCCAGGTGGGTGGTGTTATAAATGGTGAAATAAAGAAAGTAAAGTGTTATAAATAAAAGAGGAAGAATGTCATAATTAGGCACATTGATATGATTTTTGCATAATTATTTAAAGTACTGTATTTATGAGTGGTAAACCTGTATATTTTCTTTGGACTATCAGCAGGTTTTCATGAGAATTTATAATATTGTCTGCTCTAAAAAGTTGGTTAAATTTTTATAATTTTACTGTGCACACCACATGTTTGTGTTAATGGGCTTTGTCTTATTTTGTGTATAAGAATTTTTATTTGCATGTGTATGCTCACATTCATGGATATATTTGGTATATACAGTACAGTTCATTACTGTACAGTACTTAGATATTTTAAGCAGATGGTGGTTTATCAAAACTAAATCTGGAATTTCTTGTTCTTATTAAATGTTCATAAATTAATTTTATCGTATTCTTTATTTCAGATGGAAATCAGCTGAGGATATCTTCTTGTCAAGTACCGGTGGAAACATTTTGTATCAGTCGATGGAAGCCGATGATGGAGGTGGCGTACGAGAGGTGTCGAATAACCACAATCGCTTGGTATCCTCTGTTTCGGCGTACCCCCTGCCCAACACCAACACAAACATTGTCTCTGCTAGCATTGTTAATGCAACCCCTGCTGCTGCTACTACTGCTTCTGCTGCTTCTACCTTTACCATTTCTTCCACATCTTCTTCATCATCTACTTCCACAACCTCGTCCTCACACAACAACAACAACAACATTCAGCCACAACAGCTTTCCTCAGTAATGGTTAATCATGGTGGTACCTCTAACACCAGTTATACTAGTACCGAATGTACCACCTCTGGCAACGTCCATCATGGTTCTGATGCACCCTCAGCGACTTCCCCCAACACTGCTTCAACTGGGGATATAAATAGTTCCCACTGTAACTCGGTTGGTGGAATTGCTCCTCTTGACTTGTCTGGAATCCCCCCTATCACTCAAGTCACGCTGCCCACACCTACAGAAAATGGAGAGGGTAGCTTCAGGTAATTTTTATAGACGACGTTATTGTAGAGTCCTTGCCTATGTCGGCAAATTCGTGTGATTGATACTTTTGGGGTAGGTAATGCACTTGGGATAGACTACACATTTTCTGGGCTCCCAGTTTATGTATGACGTGGATGTATCATTTGGTTAAGAAAGCTAGCTACCTGTATTTCAAGGGGAAGTAAATGGTTATTTTAATGTTAAAGAAGTCTGTCCCCTGATTATCCACTTGCAGTTTATGTAACGTAATGTGATGCAACGTAATCAGTATGTGAAATGTAGTGCGATTCCTTACAAGCCTATTAAGAACAGAAGTTGTAGCTACTGTATTAGAATCCTTCACTACTACAGAATCTAGTAAATACACTAGATTCTTGGTTTGTAGTAATTGTTGTGTGCCTTCACCTGTGTAGTAACAAGTAAGAAAATGTCCTTGACACACTTCATATATACAGTACACCTGTCATAAATAAGACATTGATCATTTAATAATCAAGATATCAGTGTTGAAGTAATTAAAAATTTTCTATTCATAGACAAATCATCTTTGTCCCAGCTGGAAATAGATGTACAGTATACAGTACCAGAATGATAACTTTAAAGAAATTTGTTATGTTGTTAAAATACTGTATAAAACTACCATTTACGATTTTTAAAGCAGTTTAAAAGACAATCTGTGGATTTAAGATTTTTTTTTTTTTTGAGACATCACTGCAAAAATTATAATATTGAATGGTTAGTGATTCATATATTGTTTTTGCACACTAATCCTGGAGATTGAAGCCTTAACTATGTATTTATGAACTTGAAGATTTATTTGTATTGGCTCATTTATTAATATTGTACCATTGAGTTTGAGCAGTGTTACATAGTCCTCTCAAATTTTTGGATAATTTGTTATTAACAGTAATAATACCAAAGCATGTTTACAAAGTTTTTAAATTGCTAAAAGTTGCAGCAGAAAATATTTTAAGTGAAATTTTTAAGAGCATGCTTAACATCCATCTTGGAATAATTTTTACATAATATCTTAGTTTTCTCACACGTTGTGAGCAAAAAAATTCTGGCCAAGCAATTCACATAGTTGGGATAGGTTTAGAAAGTATGTAGGTTGAAGGAGATGCTATTAATACTGTTCCAGAAAACAGAAATTCAAGGAAATAAAGGGACTTTGTATATATAGCAATAAATTATATTATTGATATACTGTATATATTAACTAAGGATAAATTAATAATTATCAATATTCTAGTTAGATAAAAGAAGAATATACAGTACTGTACCTTGGGCATTCGTTACTTGGTGAATGGAGTGAGTATTTATTATACAGTATATAAAATGACGTAAGGGGAGAGGAGCTGCACAAGAGGTTTGGTTGTCGCTGTCTGAAGGACTTTGTGCATGAATTGCTTTTAAGGAATGTAAGGAATGGGACGACAAATTCCATTTGTGTTAGCCGTTTTAAATATAATTTAATTTTTGTTATTATGCTCAGAAATATTCTAGCCATTTTTTGCAATGCAAAATGTTTACGCAGCACTATGTAGTACTTTTCCAAATGCTGTGAGACCAAATCACTTATAATTATTTTTCCACGTGCTGTGGAACAATGCATGCTTTGCATATTGGAATTTGATATGACCTTCAGTCCCTTGGGTCCTGTTTGGAACAGGATCATAGATGCCATTATTATGCTGCAGTATGTTCATCTCCAGGTTGCTATATTTCATTACTTTATGCATATACCTCTACAATATCTACATCATAGAATTATTAGTTTTTTATCGATAGTTTACTTTAATAATACACTTATTTTTCCTGCCCTCAGTTATCAATGCATGCACATAATTTATTTAAACATTCAGTATACATCATTCCCCAAACCTAACATTTGAGAAAGTGAACAGAAATGCATGAAGCAATTGCTGAAGATTCCTGAAAGTTGGTTTGTCAAATACTGAAGTCTATACAGTAGGCCTAATTGCCAGTATGTGAGAATATAGGCTTATTACACACTTGCAGGTAATTAAGAAATTATAGATCAAAGGAAGAGAAAGCAATTAAGTATATACAGTAGTACAGTACATTACAGTTTTCAAATCCCAAATTACAATAACGGAAATACTCTTAAATTCCAATGTCGATGGATCTATTTTTTAGCTTAACTCGTACTTCAGTGCCACTTTAGTCTCCTTTCGATAATACTACAGTATACCCATTATTTCCTGGTGTTTTTATTGTTTTAGTTTCTCATTAATATCTACTTACTGTACAGAGGGCAGTCCTCATGTGTTTCTAGCTCAAACAATGAACTGGTAACTGCTTCACTTTTCATATATTCAGACCAGAACAAATTTATTTGCTCCATGCTTTGTTTTTTAATAGTTGATGTCAAATATACATCGGTAGGTCTAAATAGTAATGACACATGCATTATCTACATTAATTTTTTCAGCACTTACATTTAACTTTGCTGCTGGTTCATAACACACACAATTTTGAAAAAGAGACAGGGTAATGCATGGAATCTTTTGTGGAGATCTAATGGGTGTTGTTCTTCTGCTGACATTGGGAAAGGTTACTGTACATAGACAAGATCTTCATTTATTCAAAATTTTAATTTTAATCTTTAAACTTTCCAGCATAAGTCCAACACCAAGTCCAAAGCCCAGTCCAACATTAATGATCCGTCAGACTTCCTGTGATAGCAGTGATGATCGAGCAAATAAAAATGACACGTGTGGTTTTGTTTCGAGAGAAGGCAGTATGGAACGATCCTTTACAGAGCCCACACCAGAGCACCATCCAACCGATAAATTAGTAAGTAAATTTTCATATCTTTCCCCACTTACATTTAACTCTAAAGCTTTTAGCAAATTACTGTTAATAGTTAGTATCTCAAAAATAAATGATGTTGCAATGTATTTAGATCTTGTAGTACAGTTGGCTTCGTTTTCTTGACTTACAGTTGCGGATTCGGGGTTTGATTCTCTGGCAGGACAGAAATGGTTGGGGATGTTTCCTTTCATCTAATGCCTCTTGTTCACCTAGCAATAGATTGGTACCAGGGAGTTGGGCAACTGTTGTGAGGTTGCATCCTGCCGAGGATCGGTAGCTCAACCTTTGGGGAACCTTGATATGAACCTAAAGTATACAGTATACAGTGGGGCCTCGACTTACGAATTTAATCCTTCCCAGAGACGGGTCGTAAGTAGAAAATTCGTAAGTTGAAACGAATTTTCCCATACATAATGTAAATTGAATTAATCCGATCCACAGCCTCAAAAATATTAACTTAAAAATACATTTAGTGCTGAATAACACTCATTTTGCACTAGCTACAATACAGTACTGTACTGTATGTATATCTTACCTTGAATGAGGACTTTTGTTTGTGTATGAAAGACGGTGAGGAGGAGGGGAGGAGGAGAGGTGTTAGTGTTTGGAAGGGGGAGTCCCCTTTCATTATAACATCAGGCAGTGATGACTTTTCTGGGGTACTCTCTCTCCTACGTTTTGCCTGCATATCACTAGGACCTGCTTGTGCCTCACTGCTTGTTTTTCTCACTAAAAACCTGTCTAGCGACACTTGTTTTTCCCTACGTTGTAACACTTGTCTAAAGCAAGACATCACATTGTCATTAAAAAGGTCAACACAACGGCCTGCTACAGCTTGATTTGGGTGACAATTGCAGTTGTCACACTGCATACATTTTCTTAATAAATGAGGAAGAGACATTTTGTAATCCACATCAATAACCCTCATACTAGTTTCATGTTTACGAATGATCTCTTGTTTTTCCTCTATGGTCATCCTCACATGTGTTTTCTTAGGTTGAGCTTTACCACTGACTCTCTTGGGACCCATGGCATGATATGTAATAATTACTTTTATGTTCAAAATACAAAAAAGCACAAAAATAACGAAATTCTTTACAAGCACAATCGTCACTAAGTGGGCGGCTCTGGTAAACAGGGCCATACCTGAGGGAATGAAAACCTTGTGGCTTCCTTGTGTAGCGTTCAAGGTTCGACAGCCCCACGACCCGGTCTCTGACCAGGCCTCCCGATTGTTCATCTGGTCAACCAGGCTGTTGGACGAGGCTGCTCGCAGCCTGACGTACGAATCACAGTCTGGTTGATCAGGTATTTTTTGGAGGTGTTTGTCAAGTTCTCTCTTGAATGCTGTGAGAGGCCAGCCAGTTATGCTCCTTTTGTCAACTCAAAATTAAAATAAACCATAGCATTTGGTCTTAAATATCCTTAATAGCTTCCCAAGGCTCCAATTAGTTCTTGTAATGTTGAGTCCATCTACAGAAATATCAGTAACGTGAGTTGGAGCAATATTAATAAAGTTACTGTTCATAACCTAATATTTCCCATGCTCTATGGGTAGATTTCACTGAGCAAAATTTTAATTTCAACCTGTTATATGAAAGACAACTACCAAGAGAATGTGTCTGTAAAGATATTTAATTACATCTAGCATATTTCCCATCATGCTAGCCTTGAAATATCCTGTTCAAAGGGAAAAGGACTCTTATTAGTAAATGAGAACTGGTGAATCTTGAAATTAAAATGGCCCATAAAATTTGGTTTGAATTTTTTTTTTTAATATGCTATTTCTTGTAATGTTGCACCCATCTCCAAAAATCATTAAAAATGTGATTGGAGGCATTTGCCAAGCAAAAGAATTCCAAAGCTGTAGATAAAAAAGTTTGAAGACACCAAACAAAAAAAATTCCAAACATGTAACCAGAAAAATGGTTGCAATTCGCCAGATTTGCCTCAGTCTGGCGAATTGAGGTTCATTGACTCAAGGTTTGACTGCATTTGCATAAAAAATCATCATCCATTTGCAGCTTCCATCTGGTGTGGAGAGAATTGTCCCAAATGAGATATTAATTAAGCACTCAACTATTAAAACTGATTGAAATTAATTATTAAGTTAGAGATGTTGCATTCCATAGGGTCTTCATTATTTGATTATTATACCATGTTTATCTCTGCTTTGTGTTCCATGGCACTTGGTCAGTGCTGCATTTTACTGTGTTGAAAAGCCATTAAGATTATTTTTGCTGTAATAGAGCCTCGTTAAATTTTCTTCATCTTTTTTAACAACCTCTTAAGGTCTAAATTATTGTTTGATTAGTTTTTGTTCTAAAGATATAGATCATTGATCTATATCTGTTGTTGGCTCTCACATATCCTAACTACTTGTCCATGTAAATCTTTATTCAGAATGTTGGACAATTTACTTGCTTTGATCATAACTACCAGTTTCTTGCCCCTATAACAAGCTGACACCACATTTTTCTGTACTGGGTCTCTGCTACCCTAAGCTGCATCCATACAGGACACCATTCATATGACGAGTTCTAAGCAACCTTCGTTCCCAACTGTGACAAGTGTCTTTAGAAATGGTCTTGGCACGTATTGTAGATGGAGGGGATGAAGGCAGTGTAGAAGAGAGTACCTTAATCTACCACTGAGAACCCAGCTTCTTGAACAGAGCAGTATTATGAATTTACAGAGCAGCTTATGTATTTCATTATTCTGTGTGGGAGCCATTGCAAGTGCAGTGAGTGCCTGGAACATCTGTTGTTTCAGATGTTCCAGATGATACACCATACATTTAAATGGTTTAAAAAGGATTGAACAGCACTATTTGTTAATTTGCAGACAATACAAAAATGAAGTGTCAAATTTTGGAAGAAGACAAAAAGTCATTACAAAACAATTTAGACATTTAAAATGGTTGATAGGTTGGCAGATATGGATGCATGTTTAGAAGTGTGGGGTTCTGAGGCTAGGAAATGATAATACATATCAGATATTGGCTAAACCAAGGTGAAATTGCCAAGTTCACGTTGCCAAGTTATCCCTAATAAATATTGAGCATACAGTATACAATTAATACTTCATTTCCATTTAAAAAATATAAAGATTAATTGTTTTATTTTTCTCTTTATTAGCTTGATTCTATTAGTAGATCATCCGAGTCAAGTCGATCAGTAGAAGCTCCCCGAACTCCGGAAATTGGCAGCACCATCAATGGTGTTTTGATAAAAGACAGAAAGGAATCCAGAGACTCAAAATCCAGTGATAAAAAAAGCAATAAAGCCTGGTATAAAATGCTGAACCCCACCTACAAAAGCAGATCTGAAGACCTGAAGAGATTATTCAAGGACTTGCCCACTGATGAAAGACTTATAGTTGGTAAGTGGCTGTTTTCATTTTGACATAGAACATTCCCAGTATTAAATCCTCACTTCCCCCTTTCTCCCTGTAAGGGGTGTGTATGCCTCACAATATTAACACCTAGCGGGTGGGACATAAAGAGCACTGATAGGTAAGCACAGGTTAGTCTTATATATTGTTCTGCCTTTGCTGTTAACTCAAAGGTACTATTGCAGAAAATAGATGGAAACTTGCACTGTGCTCTTCATTATTTTCTAGTGATGTCGAGATTGATATCCTTGTTGGATATTGTAAATGATCTTGTGTAATTAGAATCTAATCTTAATTCTGTTAGGTTAGTGCAATAGGTATAAAATTTGCTTTCAACTTGTATTCAAATATGATTTTTTTTAAATGTTGCCATTTTGTTGAAAAAGGGCCTTTCTTTTTTCTATTTACCCCATATGTTACTATGCTGAAAGTTTTACCAGTAGAAAGCTGGTATAATTTTGTCCAAATTTTTATATTTCAATTGAATAAATTGTGTAAAGAGTACCCCCCTCCGAATCTGAATTTTTTGGTTGTGGTTGGTTGTCGTTTCCCCGTGTTAACAACCCATACAGGGTATGTACGGTTATAATTCTTACTCATTTGTGTTTCTGGCTCCCACCTATGGCCAAGTGTTGGACTTCATAGTGTAGATTATATCAAATAAATGTGTATATAGTTGTGATTCTTCCTGTCCTTTAGAATATGACTTTCCTCTTCAGGGAGGAAAGTTTTGAACTTTTAACATAACAAATTCCACTGCAGTTTCCTAGTTGAGATAAAAAGTATAACCTTAACACTATCGGTCACCGGGCAGGCGCGCGGTCAACTTAGGGGTCATGTACTGAGCGTGCGGGTAAGCGCACGGTGACACCTAAATGTGTATACTCATTTCAGCTTTCTCACCTTAATTCTCATGCTACGTCACTCGTTTTGGTATCATTGTGTTCGCAATTAAATTCCCTATAGGTATGTATAAATATAATGTCCAAAAGCCTGGTGTGACTCCCAACAGCAAAGCCTAAAGTCTGCAAAAGTTACTCGTGAGCGCACAAAATCAGTGAAATGTGCATACTTGTTCCATTTTTCTCACCTTAATTCTCGTGCTACATTGCTCGTTTTGGTATCATTGTGTTCACAATTAAATTCCCTACAGATGTGTATGAATATAATGTACAAAAGTTTGGAATGCCTCCCCGCAGAAAAGCCTAAAGTTACCCGTGAACGAGCACCAATTTGTACACTGCAACCTAATGTGTATACTCGTTCAGTTTGATAACATCAATTTTCGTGTTACATCTTTCATTTTGGTATCAAATTGTTCGCAATATAAAGGCGCATATTTTAAAACTAGTCCCATAATAATAGAGCAATAACTGGAATTTTAACAAATATTTTAATTCTGGAAGCTTATCATCACAAAATTATTTATATCTTTCCAGTGTTCTGACATAAATTCTTGTGTTACATCTTTCATTTTGGTATCAAATTGTTCGCGACGTAAAGGCGCGTATTTTAAAACTAGTCCCAACATAATAGCACAATAAATAGAATTTTAACAAATATTTTAAAATTTTGACCAAAAACCTATTCATAATCATATAAGTGTTCGGGCATCAAGTTTCATGTTACATCTTTCATTTTGGTATCAAATTGTGCGCATTCTAAAGGCGCTTATTTTGATACTATTCCTAGGTCGATTGAATAAAAAATGAATTTTATACAAATATTTTTGTAGTGGACGCAAGTCCGGTCCAAAGTTACAGATAGTGTTAAAATAAAACAGAGCCAGAAAGCATTAGATACATTGACATTGTCCATGACAAGGAACAAATTTATTTTCATTTTTTTTTTTTTTGTATTGATACAGTTGATAATTTTTTTTTACATTGTCACACCATTATTAGATTCAGCACTCTAATCCTTCTAATACAGTATGTAGTATTTGAGTTGTCATATATTTTGTTATATTTCCAGATTATTCTTGTGCATTACAAAAGGATATTTTGGTTCATGGTCGCCTCTACGTCACCCCAAACTATTTTTGTTTTTACTCCAAAATATTTGGATGGGAGACCTTTGTAAGTATACTAATTTTAGTGTGGGTTATATATGAAAATAATATTTGATCAATCATAAAATAATATTTTTCATATTGTGCTCATATATTAGGTACTGTGTGTGTTTACAGTTGGGAAACCTTTTGATTTTGTCAAAATAAATTGTGTTCTATCCTTCTTTACATTGACTGTCCTCTTTATCAGTCATTAATTTCCTTGAAAATAATGTCTTTATCCTGTTCCCTTAATTCCATCTCTCTTAAAGTGTGGTGAAATCCAACTTCTCGTTCTTTCCTAATAGTATAATCCTCGTAGTTCTATTATGAACCTCGTTGCCTACCTCATTTTTTCAAATGGTGTTTTGCTGCTTTAGGTGAAACTTGCGTGCTGAGGCGGTATACTCCACAATAAGCCTCATATACTCATTTGTCATGCGTAATGTTCTGGAGACCATGAAGTTTTTAAATGCAACTCTTACTACTGAAAGCAAAAGAATAGAAAAAATTGTGATAAAAAATATGATTTGGAGATTATTGCAGAGTTAATCAAGGGAGATTATTGCAGAGTTAATCAAGGGAGATTATTACAGAGTTAATCAAGGGAGATTATTAGAGTTAATCAAGGGGGTTTTCATAAAGAACACTTAATAGAATTAGGATAAGAATTCAGAATGTTGGTGTGACAGTACACTTAAATATTGGCACTTTGTTGCAGCATCAGTTGGCGTAAACTGTTACTGAATAAACATGGTACTGTACAATACTATTAGCAACTTCCAGAAATCTTGCAACACACTGTTCATTCAAGGCTGGTCCTTGGTAATGCTGTGGTTTATTGGCTCGGGTACCACAAACATCCACAACTAACAGGACTACATTTGCTGAATTATCCGAAAGTCTGCGTTAACTGAAGAAAAACTAAACCATATTATACTGTGCAGATGTAGTTGCAGATATCCAAAGGCCTTTTTAGATAGACATACTGTAAATAAAATATGGTGATTTCCTGGTGATTGGTTTTGGGAGGTGATGTCCCTGAGGCCCAGTCTGTTACCAGGCCTCCTGGTTGTTGGTCTGATCAATCAGGCTGTTAGATGCAAGTACTCAGTGTGACATGAATCACAACCAGGATGAGCTTGTATTTTTTTGGAGGTATTTATCAAGTTCTTTTTTGAACACCATGAGAGATTGCCTGGCTATGCCCCTTATGCATAGAGAGAAGCTGTTGAAAAGTCTTGGTGCCCTTGATTGAATTGTCTTTTTGCATACCTATTATATCTGTGCAACATTGCAACCCCGGGTTATTTTGCACTTCCAGCCATGCCTTCTAGTCCCATAAGAAGTTATTTCAGTGTGGAGATTTGGAACCAGTCCCTCTTAATATTTTTCAAATATAAATTATTTTGCATCTCTCACCTGTGCTCTAAAGAATGTAGATACAGTATATATATTTTTATTTATTTATACATACAAGAGTTCTTACATTCTTGGACAGCCACTCGCACACAGTGTTTCAGGCAAATATAGATTGAGAAATTTTAAGCCATTCCAATAAGTTTGATGTTATATTGAATGGATTAGTCGGTAAAAGATTTCTGCGTGTTCTGCAGCTTTGAATGGGGCTGATTGTGTGCAATTATATTCCACCCTACATAACACTAGGCTTAAAACGTACCACCTTTGTCATCTCTTGTTTGAAAGTTTCTTGTTATTCGGTCTGTCCTTATTCTTGCAGTTGTGATCGCTACTGTTTCTTTAAAAATAAGAGCTGACTTGATTACAGTATTTCCAAATCTTTGATATTTCATATTCTTTCTATAGTGTGATTAATTAAGCTGCACTCTATATGTGGTTTCCATTTTGATATGATTTTACCATAGTGAAGGAGCTGGAACTTGTTTTAATTAAATGTCTTGTAGTTTTCTGTGGCCTATTGAAAGATGTGATTTACATTCATTTGGAGGCTTGTCGAGTCCTCTACATTGTCTACTACTGTAATAAAGATCCTAGTGTTATCTGGAAAGGATTATATCGCACTATAGTTTGTGTCCTTTTCTGTATCCAGTATGATAATGAGAACAAATACTGAAGCATAGTACCCTGGGAACTTGAGATTTTTACAGTGGGTGATCAAGATTTTACTTCGTTGGCTACAGAATTACTCTGGTTTCTTTTTCTTAGCAAATTAAAGATCTGTCTTCCTACTTTGCCAATAATTTCTTTTCTGCCTTTTTTTGTGTGCCATAACGCCACGATCGTACTTGTCAACAGCTTTCATGAAAGCTGTGTACAGTACTGTGTATTACATCAGCGTTTTGCTTATCTTCCATAGCATCTAAGGCCATGTCATACTGTAGTAATTACCTAAGTGTAATTACCTAAGTGTAGTTACAGGATGAGAGCTACGCTCGTGGTGTCCCGTCTTCCCAGCACTCTGTCATATAAAGCTTTGAAACTACTGACGGTCTTGGCCTCCACCACCTTCTCACCTAACTTGTTCCAACCGTCTACCATTCTGTTTGCGAAAGTGAATTTTCTTATATTTCTTCGGCATCTGTGTTAGCTAGTTTATATCTATGACCTCTTGTTTTTAAAGTTCCAGGTCTCAGGAAATCTTCCCTATCGATTTTATCAATTTTGGTTACAATTTTGTATGTAGTGATCATATCACCTCTTTTTCTTGTCTTCTAGTTTTGGCATATTTAATGCCTCTAACCTCTCCTCGTAGCTCTTGCCCTTCAGTTCTGGGAGCCACTTAGTACCATGTCTTTGCACCTTTTCCAGTTTGTTGATGTGCTTCTTAAGATATGGGCACCACACAATTGCTAGTGGTCTAGCAATTGTGTGAGGCAGGAGGGTCTCGCTCCTCCCTCTTCTCCTTCATAAGAGGTGCAGTTAACATGAAGGTTTCATGCGTCCTGCTCTAAACCCATGCTGTCCAGGGTTATGTAGATGTTGCAATTCCACATGTGTTAGGATTTTACTTCTCGGTATTTTAATATTTTTTTGATGTGTGATGTCAGTGCTATCAGTCTATAATTTGTTTGCATCTGCTTTACTCTATCTCCCTTCTAGTGTTTAAAGTGTGTTGGGAATAATGCCTGGATTTAGGCTTAGGCTCCAAATGATTAGCAGGGCCTGTTAGATTTTTTTTTTTTTTCAATGATTAATGAATATACTGTATAGAATTTTAGGAATCTGGATCTGGTGCAGAGTGCATGGGAATGCTGTTTTTAAAATCCATTGGGGCTAAGATGACATCTGATATGATTCGTCGTTGGTACTACATATGTGAAGAATTTTTTTGTACAGTATTGTTAATCATCGGTGTATATAGGGTTTCACTGAAAAGTCATATTGTATCCTCAGTATTTCACTTGTTTCTGTGTCCACCGTGAAAGTTTACATGAAGGAAAAGGAAGAATTCATTTGATGTCTCCCTTTCTCAAGAACCAAATCCAGTAGTTGATATTGTTTTTGTTCTATATTTTACATAGGAGTTATAGTATCTTGGCTCCTTCTTGATTTCACTGATGACCTTTTTGCTTTTCTTGTCTCTTCTGGATTTTGATTTGTATAGCTTTAGTTTGATCGCTTTATTAACTGGGAATCTCATTTTGTATAAATCTAAGTCTTGAATATTCAGAACTATTTACTGTATTAAATTGTGCTAAAGATAAACAAAGAAGTATTCAAACAATACAGTACTGTATAGTTAAAATACTGTATATTAAATTTACTTTGAACATAATTTTGGTATCAAAATTAACATTTAAAATTGATCGTGTAATTAAGTACAGTAATACAAAAAATTCAAATTGGCAAAATAGCAAGAAATTTTAATAAGCAAAATGTCTGGATTAGCCACAAGAAGTCTCATTTCAGTTACATTTTATTGAGATTTGACAGTGTATATTTACTAATGCCAGCTTTGTGCATTCAGTACAATATATTTATGTGAAAAAAAGTGTTTAATAAATGTAATCTTTCTTCAAACAGGTCTCTATCAAAAGCAAGGATATAGTTGCCATGACAAAAGAGAAGACCGCTTTAGTAATTCCAAACGCAGTCGAGATAAGGACGGAAGGAGAGAAGCATTTCTTTACCTCGTTTGCCTCAAGGGACAAGACTTATCTGATGCTCTTTAGGATTTGGCAAAATGCTCTAATGGACCAGGTATGTAAATGTGTTTTTTCTCTACAGTAATGTATGTATATTTCTTGGCTTTTCCACTTGGCAGCTTCTTAACCCTAAAATGGCTTGGCTAATTGAAGATCCTTGTAATGGTGAGCAAAATAAAATATAGCTCACAAAACTAATGTAAAGAATATTGTATTTGGTGATTCAAATTCAGAAGGTAATCTGAGATAGTGATTGGAACTATTTAAGAGTCCATTCACCTGGGCAGTATGGGTCTCAAACTGTAGACCCTACACATGTGAGGCCGACGCTCTATCGACTGGGCTATGAGTAGGCTTAAAAAAGGAAAGTTTCCAGAAGCATCATCCTGCTGCCAAATTGGAATTTTCTGCTTTCCCTGACTACCACTAAAGGTCAAAGAAATTACTGACCTACGGCCATGTCATATAAATTTGGCAGCAGGAGGCTGTTTCTGGAAACTTTCCTTTTTTAAGACAACTCATTAGCTCGGTCGATAGAGCTTCTGCCCCACATACGTGGGGTCCACAGTTCAAGACCCATACTGCCCAGGTGAATGTATTCTTAAATGGTTCCAATCACTATTTGATTGCATTTTGACACTCGGACCCCTCTAACAGCGAAGACAAAGATTAAGAAGTGAGCCGTCCTGATAGGATATAGCCGAGATAGTGTCAGGTTTTTAAGTGTCGTAATCTCAAGGATTCTCCTGTAGTTGTCCCATCCTGGGACGAGGTTGGATAATCCATATCAAAATTTGTATACAGTATTAGATAATGACATACTGGTGGCATGGTAAGTTGTACAGTATACTGTATATACTGTACTTGCTCTAAGAAATCGAATAGGTCCACTTAAACATGAGGACAGGTTGCATTATGTGAATGTGTTAGAAAATATGACAGAGTTCATTACAGTAGGGGACAGTGATGGAATTGAGGTGGGGGATGTGGAAGCGGGGATTCATATATAGAAAATGTTCAAGCAGAAGCACTTGGCAGATTTTATTAAATTTGTATAGTGTGAATTGTTTTTGTATTTAGAATAATGGTCTAATACACTGAAAATGACTGCACTCATGAATTTTTAATAATTGCTTAATTATTCATATACTGTACAGTATTCAGTTAAAGAAATGTCTTGGCATAGTATTGTCTTTAATAAAAGGTTTAACATTTTCATTAAATCCTCACACTATCAGTTTACATTGGCTTGTATTTGATCAGGGCTTTTAATCTCTTCCTCCAGCAAATGAGTGCAACAGAACTATGGCAGTGGGTTCATTCCAGCTATGGAGATGAGCTAGGTCTGACGAGTGATGATGATGACTATGTAGCTCCCTCCACCGAAGACGATGCCAAGACTAACACAAGTCATGCGCATAGTGATCGTACCTGCGAATCCTCCATCTTTAACAGAAACCTCAAGCTGTATAGTGTGGATTCACTTGAGGTAAGTACAGAAGTTTACTTTTACTCTTGATGTACAGTTTTGGTGATGTATGGATGCTATCCTGGGATACTTTGTACACAGTACTTGCTTTTTTTTTTTTTTTTTTTTTTTTTTTTTTTTTTTTTTTTACTCTGGAACACAATCTTTGTAATATTGGGAACATACTAGGTGTAATACAAGAAAGACAGCAGCAGCAGCAAGATACTGGTATGCATGCTTTGCGTCGAATGATTTCTTGGACAATCACCTTTTTAAATTAGGGATACTGTAGTGTTATAATTTTTATTTTAGTATTCAAAGCGAAGGGGTAAACACCCCTTATCGTACTTTTAACATTGACTTGTTCCGAGTTTGATAAGTTTTTCTTGTAGGATTAGTCAAAAGTTGAAAGTAGTGTTGTATGTGTTTTGACTAACACAAACTCAGACCCTGTGTGATTTTATTTTTAAGCCAAGACGTGAACTGTGTGAGAGTGGGTACATCTATATGTAAGCTGATGTTTGAGACTCGCACAACAGAGATGTTTTGGTGCATGTCATACAAATACTTCACTTGTGTTTTGCATACTTTTGTATTATTTTCTGGCATCATGGTACCTCCCATGCACAATGTACTCTGTACTTTAAAATGTATTTGTAGCAGAAATGTTGCAGGATTATTTAGCAATAATACTCAGTTAGGTGTTTTGTTGAAAGAACTGGGAAAACATTGGTCCATTTGAGTTTGGAATGTGACCCTAATTTTAACAGGAAACTTCACGTTGCCTTGCATGAATTTGCTCCACAAAGGTTTTCTTTCAGAGAAAAAAACCCTAAAATCATGTTTTCCTACCAAAAATAAAGCAAGTAAAAGGTGTCAGACCAGATAATGAATGGTAATTCCATTCACATGATAGATGTTAAACAGAGAGTAAAATTTACATGACACTTAACAGACTGTATTTTAATGTCCCTGATGAATTTTGTCTTTTAGTGAACTCCTCACCCTAAAGAGGGTTAGCTTTATGCTAAATCATCATCAGACATTTTATATTCTGTACCTCCCAAGCACTAACAATTTTTGTAACAAAAGTGAAATGATTAAATGGAAGAAACATTAAAATATAACTTAGCTGCTCTACAATATGAAAATTCTGTTGGTATGTTGTGCACAAACAATTTACAGTTATGAGGCCCTTAGGGTATCAAATGGTTATTAATAATGAGGATCAGTTTCTCTTTGGTCTCTTGGTTGAAAGTAGGATCAACAAAATGTTGGTTACTGATGTTCATAGCAGCAGTAACATTGACCAAGTAACAAGCTGTCAGGACCTTGTTAGACCCCCAAAATCCCTGAGCCTGAATATCAACCCATGATGTGTAAAAAAAACCAGTAGATAATACCACAAACTTGTGATACGAGGCAAAAGTATTGGGAGTCAACAGTCTATCAGTCAAATGATAAGAGGCAACAGTATTAGACATAAGATGTCGATCTACAAACAGCCAAGACTACTGGAATGGAAACAGAAAAGATGTGATAGAGACAGAGGTGAAAGAACCAGCGTAAAACCTCATACTGCCACGTGACAAAAGATGCAGGTTGGATGTTGTTCACAAGTCAAGCCTGGCCTCGGGCCGGGCTTGGGGAGTAGAAGAACTCCCAGAACCCCATCAACCAGGTATCAACCAGATGCCAACAGCTCTGATATCTTAAATATTCAAACGGTGTTGGACCTATTTGGAGATCTGTTACCATATGGAACTAGTGGTTAATGAAGACAAAACTTAAGTTTGAATATAGACACTGGAAGCTTATTATATTAGAAATAAACAGGAAAAATATATAGAGTTAAAATATATAAATATTTAGGCATATACTATACTGTACTGTACATTATATTGAACATTGTATACCCATAAAAGTTTGGAAACCGAGTTGAACTGTCTGTTGGGTCAATGTCGGAAGAGATAACAGCCTTTGACAACTTTGGCATGTTGTGGAAATGTAGTGGGAGTCTCTGTGCTATGTATTATACACATACATACTGTACTGTGAGATCTCTTAATGATTTTGCTGCATTTGTCATTTCATGTTTTGGTAAAGATAGACTAAACAAGTTGGAGAAGATACAAAATGAAGCTATACAAAACATTTTAGGATGCCCAAGATATGCTATGATTGTGATAATGAAGGTGGAATTGATCTTTGAATCAATTTACTGAAATTGGGGATAGAGTTTGAGATAAATGTCGTTACGGTGATTAGACCGAGAGGTAGGGAAGGTATGCAGACAATGAGTCACAACAATGTGGCTGTGTGACTGAAGATGTGATGACCAAACCACACGCCAGAAGGTGAAGAGACAATGACGTTTCCTTATTGTCTCCTCCTCATTGTTTCAGGGCCCATCCTGGACCATTATCAAGTTTATTGCAAGGGGGGGGGTAATTAGTTAAGCCATTTGTTCATTTTGAACAATGTATTTTGAAGTATAACAAGAGAGAATGTGTGAACTTTATTTTCTAATGTTTCAAAATATGTCTTACAAAAATTTATTTCATTACCTAAGAAACGGTTAACATCACTACCATGGAAGGAATGTAACTCGGGTGGAGATTGTTCCCCCTTCGAAAGAGAAAATCCATTCGAGCCAAGGACAGTTGAAGGCAAATTATGATTGTGTAGTTAGAAAAATACCTCAATTAAGCATTACATTTTTATTGTGATGGCTCTTTAGCTTAGGATGGGAAGGCAGGATATGGTCTTGATCAGGGAATACACCGATATCGGCACCATTTATACAGTTATTGGACAGCCCTTAGCTGACGGTCTCTTCAATATGCCGAGCTTCAAGCTGTATTAGTGGGCTTAAAGGAAGTAGTTAAGAGCGGTAAAAAATTTTTTTTATTTATTTATTGATAGTAGAGGTGCATTGGAGTCATTAAATAGTAGAAGACTAGGATGTGAGCATATTGTGGATTTGTGTAGAGAGAACATGAAGCAACTAAGAAAAGTGGTTGTAAAGTAAGATTTATGTAGATCCCTTCACATGTAGGAATAATCTGTTCTTAAATGAGGCTTTTGATGACATAGCAAAGAGGGCCACAGAAAAACTTGTGTCGATGTAATATGTAATAATAACATTGAAACAAATTAAGACAAGGGTTAAGTTGATCAAAGAGTTTATAGAAAAAGTCATGAGATCTACAATGGTGGATAGCAGTAACACACTAAACCATTATGCACTAATAAGCATGAATGCATCCTTCACGTATTGTAGGTAAAAGTCTACATGGAAGGATTCTGTGTACTTGAGGATTAGCATATAAATATAACTGGCAGTACATTGCTGATTTCTGTGAAAAAGATAAGGCATGCAAATGAATGTAGTATGTCACATCTCATATGCTAGATCACTTTGTACCAGGGTGTAAATTGCTTGATCACTCTAAATATAAAGACGTTTGTAGTGTACCTTGTCAGATTGTATGGAGGTGGGGTAATGGTACGATAGCAACAATCATTATGAGATTCAAACATTTTGCAACAAGAATGTAATACCGGGTACCAACAATTCTTTTAATTTTAAATTATGTATTATGTGATAATTAATGTAAATGATTGTAGTATAAAATAATGTGTATTATAGATTTGTGAGCCCCTCGAGTGACTTGTAATAGAGGGTAGAAAGAGCCTAAGCTACTCATTTTCTTTTGGGGTGCATTTTATTATTTTGATAAACCTGCACAAACAGTTTTGTTTTTGTACAGTATATAAATTTATTTGTATTCAGACTTGGCTTGAAACATGGCATGAATTGTCTGCTTATGACCGGGAAGGTGAACTACCTATTCGGAGAAAACTGGGCATTTGGAAGTGGTGTCACTGGATTCCTTCCACATGTTACTTAGTTCCATTATTAGACAGTAGAGCAACGGTGTCGCTTATTGCAGGTCAGCGTTCAATCCCCCGACCATCCCCCAAGTGGTTGGGCACCATTCCTCTTCCCCATCCCATCCCAAATCCTTATCCTGACCCCTTCCAAGGGCTATATAGTTGTAATGGCTTGGTGTTTTCCCCTGATAATTCCCTCCCCTCCATTATACATCCCCTGTTGATCCTCTGTATGGTAGTTGAAAGGATACAGAACCATATACTACTGTAATGTAATGGATTTGGGAACTGGGCCCCTAATGTTCTCATAGGTAAGCAAATTAGTGCCTAAGTATTGTGAAAAATTTACAAAATCTACAGCAGTAGGTTGTTAAAACTTAGTGTGTGTTATTTACATCTATTTACATTTTTTATGGATAAAAATGGTTAGGGTAGGTTTAGTTAGGTTTGGTAGTGATATTGCTGGGTGGAAATATATGTTGAGTTGCCCCATTCTTAACCCTTTTCTCTAACCAAAATTAACCTCATTTAACCTTCGCATAATCTAACCAAGTGCAACTTGTCCAGAAAGGAGTTGCTTGCTGGAAGAAGTAGGCCATTCTATTTCCCAAGTGCCCATATTATCTGATCAAGATTGCCGGTTTCTCAAGACAGCTGGCTCGACATCCCAGTATGATTTCAATATCTTCTCATATCAGTCCAAGTCTACATAGATTAATTTATATATTTAATGCTGTTTTAAAATACAGAATTGGCAACTGTTAACAGCTTGTTAATATGTATTGCATCTTCTGTATAGCATTTAAGACATTTTGTAATATACATCTAGATACGTATAAGCAAGCTTCATAAACAAATACCCCCCCAGTGAAGAATTTCCCTGCCACTGTACATCGAGCAAACACTACCCAAGATCACTAGCAGTATGGTTTGTTTTTCTTAGTGAATCCCATGTATGTATACTGCCTATTCCCCTCACAATTTTAAAGTTATGGTGCTGGAGTTTTATGGCATATACTGTAATTTCACATTCATGCGCATTCATGCATGTATAAAGACTTGTTTCATGGTACCTGTAATTTAAATCTTTAATTTGGATACAGCAAGTTCAACAATTGCACTGC